CTCTCTCTCTCTCTCTCTCTCTCTCTCTCTCTCTCTCTCTCTCTCTCTCTCTCTCTCTCTCTCTCTCTCTCTATTCCCCACATGTGTGTGTCCCCCTGCCCCCCCGCCCCCCTTCTCTCTCTCTCTCATGTTAAGCTGGTAAATGTTTCTGGCAAGGGAAGGGAGAGAGGAGTAGAAAAGCTGCCTCCACTTTTGTACTTCATGTTATATCAATTATTATCGAGTTTTAAACCTCGACTTCTCGCTTCTTTTGAGTACCTTTTCTCCTACCTATTTTAGTGATTGATGTCGCATGTCTGAGCTGTGCCGTTTTGGTTGTATGTCTCATCCACTCAGCCCACAGTCACAACACCCATGGGAATGAAGGTCTGCACTGACTGTGCAACTTGATCACAATTCTCAAAAACTGTCATGGGCATGTGCTGATCCGGATTTCTGCCATGTGCCAATAGAAACTGAATCATCACCGGCATGGAATTCAAGAATTGTGTCTTTTTCCCTGACATTGCCAACCATTTCGGTCTAGTAGCAGTGGTACGCCCAACCTTTGATTTTGCAGTGGATCAGTGCCGTACCACCGGTCACCGTTCACGGGGTCTGTGGACGGAGACCGGTCATGGAATTCACCCCGTTCACGACACGGGAGTTCATGGAGTTCACGGAGAGCGGTTTTTTTTTTTTTTTTTTTTTTTTGGCTGGGGGGGTATGGTTTTCTTTTTATAGGAGGGTGGGGGACATCGAAGGGTAACTCCCTATATTTTTTTCAATGAACTCCCGTGTCGTGAACTGGGTGAACTCCATGACCGGGTTGCAATGAAATAGCTGGGGAAACGATCTACTGGAGTTCACTATAGGAGAGTGTTTGTGTGTGTGTGTGTGTACGTATTCGTGGGGGCGAGGCGACCCCCCTACAGCAAATCAATCAATCAATCAATCAATGAACAGAACAAAAAAAACATAAAAAAGGCTGTGTGTGTGTGTGTGTGTGTGTGTGTGTGTGTGTGTGTGTGTGTGTTACATTCTGTGACTTCACATGGGCCTCCACAGGCCCGACACGCCGGTTCAGGGGTACCCAGGCCGGCCTCGCCAAAGGCCAGGCCTTTTTTCCTCCCGGTAGGCCCTATTAGGCCACCGGTTGGGCCCCAGCGCCAGCAGACCCAGGTTGGCCCAAACAACATGACCGTTTGGACCTGGCGGCGCTCTTGAGGCTGCCGCCCGCCGGTCTGGGCTGAACGGACATTTCGACGGTTCAGCCCACAGCACAGGAGGCCAGCATCGAGGCCGACCGGCCGCCGGACGGTACTTAGGCCGGTCCAGCAGCCATTCTCCCAGGTTGGGGACGAGGAGCAGCCAGAGGAAACGCTGCGCTATTTCGGTTGGGTGCAGCGGTAGGAACTGCAGCGCTAGTTTAGCACACTGCAGTCCAGGAGGAGCGAGGAGGAGCGAGGAGGACATACCTGCGACCGTGGAGCGCCATAGCTCCCGCGACCTGCAGCAGATCTCCCTCCACCGCCAAGACGCCAGCTTGTTACCCGCAGGTTAAGCCTGAGGCCCTCACCAGCTTCCCCATCTCTACCTCTCCTCTCCATCTCCATCTTCTTCTTCTATTCCTCTTCTTCTTCTTCAGACTCCATCTTCTTCTTCTGCTCTCTTCTCCTTCTTCTTCAGACTTCATCTTCTTCTTCTTATTCAGATTGGAGACCTTGATACGAGTTGGACAGAGATCAGTGTTTGGACTTCGGGGGTAAGAGGCTCTGATACTTATTAGATTCGAGACTTGGAGGTAGTTGGGATTGGTACTGGGCGGCATCACAGATTTGACACTGGTTACATTAGGACTCTGTACCTCCGACATTGGTGACTTATTGTCCACGACATTCTGGTCTTGTTCGATGACATTTTGGACTACCATATCTGTGACCTACTGGATTCTATCTCGGTGACACCTTGCGCTGTCTACACCTCCCACCTCCGTCGTCTCTCCTCCCACCTTTCATCTGTGTATGGTTGTACGGGGCCTGAGCATCGTCTATGATTGGCTTCAGACCCGACCATCTCACGATTACTTGTGTGTTGAGTGATATCTGGATGAGTTCAGTCTATGTGAGTCAGTCCATTTCTCAGACTTCCGCTGCATACATGCTCATCCTATATTGGTTGATCTTTGGTTCTGCCCATACTTGTTGAAGTATTCACGAGTATGCAACAGTTTTGGTATCGGAGCATCTCCAACTAATGGATCTGCTCACAAGGTAATCCTGATTAGGGAATAAGATTGCTCAATTAGCATTATTCGTTTCTCCAAATCAGTTCTGCATTAAATCAGTTCTGCATTACTATCGAGATTCAAGTTGCAATTTTTTTTTTAATTCCGTATTCTGTTGAATTCGGTATTCCGTTTTAATTCGGTATTCTGTTGTAATTCGGTATTCTGTTATACTCTGGTATTCTGTTTTAATTTGGCATTCTGTTTTAACTCGGTATTCAATTCTGTATTCCGTTTTAACTCGGTATTCAATTCTGTATTCCGTTTTAACTCGGTATTTTATTTTAATTCGGTATTCTGTTTTATTCCGGTACTGAATTAGGGTTGCGATAAAATTTCGGGTTTTTTTTTTCAAATTGGGGGGAAATTCGCATTTTGGAACCGTAAAAACCGGAAATTCCGCGAAATCGTGGAAAATTAGGGTTGGAATCCGAAATGTTCGCGGTTTTTTTTCTTTCTTTTCCCTACTTTAAATTCCCGAACCCGGACTTCGGCTTTCTGAAAATCGGACCTTGTTAGGTTGAAATCCCCGAAATTTCACGTTTTTCGAAAATTCGAGTGTTTTTCTTTTTCCTGACTATCCGAAACTATTTTTTCAGTTGGCAGACTGTTTGGAATCGTTACCTCAGAACTGCAACTTCCGGGTAGTTCACTAACAACAGTGAACTCCCGAACCATAGGTGATCTCAATGGATACCTAATCGACCATTAATTTAAAATTCGTTATTGATCATTACTAAATGTTATTGATTAATGATTCTTAATTAATTATTACTCATCATTCTTATTAATTATTGATTATTTTCGTAATTAAATTGTTTGGGGGGAAAAGTCATTTCTTTTCTTTCCTCTTTTGGTTAGGAGTCCAGTCCACATTGGGATAGGGGACTGTAGGTGAATTGCTTGATCTGTTCTACCCCTGTTCCCACCCTCTCTGCCCTCCCCGCACTCTGTGACACCGAGGTCTTCAAGTACCGCATCAGCCTGTGCTGATGTCGACGGAACAGAGCAACGGGGCACTGCCACGACGCAGCGCCAGGCTCGCAGTTCTTAACCACTCTGTGCTACCTCCACGATCCAGGTATCAGCAACAACGACTCAGCAGGCGACCTACTCCAGCAGCATCAGGTACAGCAACTGCAGTACCAGTCACTACCGGGGCCCTTCCCGCCTGCCCCGTCCAAGGGGACCAGGAGACGTTGTCAGCTTACCTTCAGCGGGTACAGGCATTTACGGATGCCGTCGCTACGGCTAAAGCACAGCAGGAGGCAGCAGAGGCGGAACGTCAGCGGCTGGCCAATGAGGCGGCAGCCCAAGCTCAGCGGACTGCTGAGGCTGACGCAACAGCTCGAGACAGACGGAATGCCGCCAGCGCTGAGGCCCTGATTCAGAATGAGAATCAGTGGACAGCACTCCTCCAAGGCATGCTTTTTGTGCCTACGGACGAGCAGGCGGATCCGACACTGGCCAAGGCAGAAAGGAGTAACCTGGCTAATTTGATGCTGAGCATGATGAGGGCGGTAATGTGGAGTAACACAATGATGCAGGTACGCCTGCTCGCGAAGTGACAGCTCAGACAGAAGCAGCAGCAAGATACTGCCACCTTAACAGCTGCCGTCCGCGCCGCAGCAACACAGCAGCAGCAACAGCACCAGCTGTTGAACACCACCTACGAAACACCCTCGGCGGCGGACAAGCGCGGCCGATCTGCGGCCGCGGCCGAGTCCGCGACCCCCGCGGACGCGTCCGCGCGGACGCGCCACTTCGCGGACGCGTG